AGGTGTGCACAGATATAAGCTATACTAGGGGAAAAAGTCAAGTCCAAACAAATTTTAATTTTCCAATCAAGCTTTTAATGAAAAGTTCATAAAATAACAGTTTCTTATCACTGTACATTAAGACTGCAAATTTCTGAATGCTGAGATCATATTATAGTTTCTGTATCTTTTTATATGACACTTGTGTTGGAGCCACAATAGTATGTGACTCTGACCTGAATTCAAGCTCTTGAAGGACATGAACAGAACATTGCAGGAGTGTCAATACCTCCTCAGGAAACATCCAGGTCTCTTGGACTGACATAGTTAAGGCTTAAAAAGGAGATAATGCAACCTCCCTTTTCTTGTTTTGTTTAAAATCCCTCCTCTCTCCCATTGGGAAAGATGTTCTCAGTCAATCCAAGCTGTTTGAGAAGTTATATAGGAACAGTAATCCTGGGTGCTTTGATCAGCTATTTGTGAATAATGAGATTTAAAAAACATTCAGCAATTTGGTAAAAGCAAAACCTATAAAGTTCCCCCAATGCCATCAACACACGTAGCAGGATGTGGTGCCCTGTTCTAAACCTTCCCCATGCTATCTTGTAGTGAACATGCAATAAGCATCAGCTCCTCCAATCTCCCACATGGTTAATACTGGGCTACAAAATGTGTGACAAATACTCAAGGGGGGAAAAAATAGGACAAGGGAACTGGTGCCTAAGGATGTGGCAGAAGTGGGATGGAGTTAATCTAACAAAACCACTTCCTGCTCTGAGTTCATGGCCAAGCATCTACGAGAATGGCAAGTTACAGTAAGGAAAATTATGACAACAGCAGGTCTGCATGGGACACAGGACTCGGGATTGCTCCTGTCACATAGGTCCCTCTCAAAGTTCTACTTGGGTTGGAAATACCCAATGAAAGATCTCAGTGAGCTCTGGGCACTGTCTTCTTTCAAAAGGAAAGATGCAATTCCAGCTAGTTTCACAGGGCAATTCCAGAAACCGGTGAGAAAAATACAATTTCTCTCCCTGATCAATAACAAGGGAATGCTGGAAAAGGAAGTGCCTGGACATCCAACACAGCCTACCTATCCTGCTCCTAGAGAGTCTTGAAAACAAGGAGTTCTGTGACAAGCTAGTTAACTAAGTGAACAGGATTTTGAAATTGTGTTTCTCAAGAACAGGAATAGCGATGGATCGAGACTGAGTCTGTAAAGGGGAAGAGGTTTGTGAGAATGAAGACTTTTGTTATTTTATTGAAACTATTCCATTTAAATAAATCATTAGTAAATATTTACTATTAAAAGTTAAATTTCACTATCCCAAAGCTCCTTTGTAGAAGTCCTTCTCTTGCCTCATCAAGGGTTTATTTGCATGCACTGTGTTTGCTGTGGACCTATTCTAGGTTTGACGTCTACCTCCATCATCATACCAAACATTCCTTTTGTATTAATCCCAGCTCTGTTGATGGGAAGGGCTTCTTTTTGTTTAAAACCAAAGCTATGACAGTCTAACCTCCAATAAGCATCCATTTACCTGATTGTTAGCTGTGTGACTGAACTGATGAAAGCCCTATGTTTTATATAGATCCTGGACTCCACACAGATACAGTGAATTCAGTGCATCAATTTAAACTGCAAATCATATCACAATGCCAGGATTCTCTTTGGCTACAGCTGGTGATTAGACTTCTTCCAGTTATCTTGGGCACCAATTCCCCACCTTGAAGATCCTCAATGCTTATCCAGCAAGTATTGAGGTGGTATAAAAGCAGTCTGGAGAGGCAGGGGAATGCAATGATCAGTCAGCAGTTCCAATCAGCAGTGCCAGACCATCCTTTTTCCATCTACATTTACCTCTCTCCACATTTTGCCAGCTATCATCTCAAAAATCATAGGTTTTGCTTTACCAGATGACTTGGATGATTCCTTGCCAAGCCCCACACTCCTGCATTTCAGAACTGAAGCAACATGGTAAAATACTGCTAACTCAGACATTGAACCTGCACTGTTTGAAAACAATGCTTTCCACATACAAGAGAGAGGGAAACAATAATAAAGACAGGAATTGTAAGAGTGACATAATTGGAAACATTTAAATACACCAAACCATAAATTCCTCTTCTATGCAAAGCTACAAAAGTCCAGTCTTTGTATTGTCTTCACAGGTTATGGTTTATGGCTATGCTGACAGTCTCTGAGATTATTTTTAATATATTTTCTTTTTTTTTTCTTTTTTTTTCTTTTTGAAATCCTGTAGAGAAGACCCTGTGGACACATCTTTGTGTTTGCAACTGTTCTGAATTTCATTGCAAAACTGTGCATACAGAATCTGAGAAATAAATACATTCATTACTGCACATACATATTGATACAAAAAACAACACTGTCAAATAGTGTTTGCACCATCTTTGTTAGATATTAAGACCAGGCAAAATTAATATTTCATTTTCCATCAGCCTACCTCAGATGTCTGAGGTGGCACTGGTGTCAAATTTTATAAACTAAAAAGAGAGAGAATCAAGATTATGGGTGGGAAGCCTTTTCAGCTTTCTTTTTTTTTCTTTTTTTTTCTTTTTTGGCTTCAGCGGTATTTTAACAACCCATCATCACTGGCAATCTTTAGACTATTCTAACATGCAACTCAAACATATGTTTCCATAAGGGTCTTGACTGGGCTTTTCTACACAAGATATAAAGGTTTGGAGTGAATTAGTAGAGCTATCTTAGTTCACAGAAGGCTAAAACAGTCCAGTTTGGCTCATGCTTCTGAACTATACTGAATGTCGGAAGAACACTATATGTACAATATACTGCTGCCCTCAGTCCAGACCATTAAATCTACCCAGTTGGCCTCTTCATTCCAACAGGGAATTCTGTGGTCTCTGCAATAGTTTTTATTCAGTGCAGAGGGCCAGTTGAAAGTTTCACTTTCCCTTCTTTTCCACAGCAACAAGGACTCACAGAAGCTGCTGTGTGGCAAGAGCTCTTTGGTGTCTCCTATAGTCTTTGTGGCTTCTGCTAGCTATCCCCTTTTTTTTTGGCAGCTCCCAATAAGGAGATAGAATGTGAGATTAGCCCAGTTTTTGTGGCCATGTTAGGGAAACGTACTGGATAGAGCAGCTTTAGCTTCTCTTTTCTAGGGTCTCTCTCATTTCTCCCCAATCTGCTGGTAACACAGCCAGACCCTCAGAGAAGAGTCAGGCTATTTAGGACTAATAACTGATCACTTCTTTCTACACCCATTTCCCATTGGCACAGACCAAGGCCTATTCTACCCTAATTGTTGATGATAGACTCTGGAATTTACTTTTTGCAATGGAACGTCAGAAGCATTAGAAACCACCCTCTCAACAAAGATTCCATGCTGAACATAAACCTGCTGATGTAGTATCTCTTATGGGCTCTGAGGACAAAAAAATTAAAAAAAACAAAACCATTTCCCTAATTACATCTCCCAAAACCTAAATAGTGTTGGAATGCAGTTTGTTTAATAAATTACTCTTTTTTTGCATGCTACTAGTTTAAGAAATGTTGCCATAGCCTTCAAAGACAAACCAATGGAAAAAGCAAAGATTAATTTTGACTGGCCCCTAGATCTGTTGAGGTCTGAAACTGTAAAAGTTTATGTAAACAATGAGATAAATATATTAGTATTTTTCTGAGCCAAGTGAGGTTCCATACTCATTCAAATGTGCTTTGGTTTAAAAAATAGTTTTGTGAATTTGGGTATGAGCTCTTTTTATTTTTATACAACTTCTGCTATTTTATCCTGTTACTCCGAAAACATTCTGGAACTAAGTGACTAACGCATATATTTAAGCTGCCTGGCCTCTATTATTTTGTTTTTAAATTGTTTTATTCCTCTTGAGGCTCTTTGTGTATCTTTAAAAAAAACAAAAAACAAAATAAAAAAAAATTTAAAAATGTAACTCCCTCCCCCCAACCCTAAAACTCTTAAAATCTTAAATATGAAACTAGTGTTTTGCTTTCTCATTAAAATACAGAAACATGTTTGATACAATACTATGTCGTATAAATGCAGTTGAGTGTCTAGGCCTCCAAGCAGGCCTCAAACAGTCCCTGAAGTTTTGAGTATTATTAGTTATTCACCATTATTACTGTCACAATTTGGAAAATGTTGTTTCTATTCAGTCTATGGAACACACCTCTACACATCTACTTGAAAAAGAAAATTTCCTTTTGTACAATACTCTTGCTGTACACAGACTTTATGTCGTATTGTTTAAGTGCTGAGGGGCCAAGCAGGCCTCAAACAGTCCCTGAAGTTTTGAGTATTATTAGTTATTCACCATTATTACTGTCACAATTTGGAAAATGTTGTTTCTATTCAGTCTATGGAACACACCTCTACACATCTACTTGAAAAAGAAAATTTCCTTTTGTACAATACTCTTGCTGTACACAGACTTTATGTCGTATTGTTTAAGTGCTGAGGGGAGAAAAATAAAATTAAAAAAGGAGTTTCTTCTTTGAAAAAAAATATAGCATTGGGTCCTGAAACTTCAAAATGATTCTCAAGGTTTAAGAAACAAACCAGGGCCGGACGGGGGGGGGGGGGGGGGGGAC